GAAGCCGGGAACGCGAAAAAGTCTCGCAAAGTAAAAACATTATCAGTGAGACGGGGTTCGCCGCTATGATCCAATACAAAAGGCATCTCCCGTGTGTGACAAAGGCCACTTTTGTACACTCCAGTGAGATGTCCGCGCGACAGGAACTGCTGCAGCTATTGACATGCAGTTTGTTGGTCGTCATTAAGAACACTTCACGGATATCACATGCTTAGCCGCAGGAAACCTGGACTATTTTCATCACACGCAGTCACTGAAGCTGAAAAGGGACGTTTTCTAGCTACAGGAAACAGAAACTCATTTAAATAATGAAGCCTGAATGTTCAATAAATATTCGTATTCATATGCATTATCATCATTATACTAGTATTCATTTTACGTATAATTTCCCCTATTGTACCCTTCTGGTGTCTCACATTAAGAGAAGAACTTACGCAGAAATTGTTTTAAAATAGAGCGACGATAAACAAATTTGGCCCTAAGAGACAAAGAATGACAAGGGAGGAGAAAACTGCATTATGAGGAGTTTAATAATTTGTGTTATCCACAAATACAAATTAGAGGTTCAAATCAAGAAGGGGAAAATTTGTAGTGCATAAAACAAATACGAGAAAGATGTGTAACACATACAAAGTTATAAATTAAAAACGCGAAAGGAAGACACTTGGGGTACAATTGGGGGGGAGAAGGATAAAATGAAACACAAAAGAGGGGTGTCGAGTGGAATCGTCTGGTTCATGATTAGGTCCAGTGCGCAGATCGTGTGGAAACACTGAACTTGATGTTCTCAAGGCGACGAAGAATTTGATGATTATGTTCTTGGTTGTAACGCGGTGTGAACTTGGCCGAGGCAAACACCAACATTTCGGAAGAACATACTACCACCATGTTTATAATAAACCCAGAAAACGAATATCTTTTAAAATATTTTGTTCCTCAAACAAGTTCTCTTGCCTGACAAACTGAGAATTCTCTCAGGCATCTGTCGTTTGCTCTTAACAATATACAGTGTATTCTATAAAAGAATGGGCCTCTTTTTCTTAAAATATAATTCTTTCTTGAAGAAATGTGACAGGTTTTGATTACAATGTTCTTAACTTAGATGGGGTCTTCTCCACCTTTCTGCTCATATAATGGGGGCCTGATTTTGCCCTTCTCCACCTTTCTGCTCATATAATGGAGCCTGACTTTGCTTTGTCACTTTTGACATGTTTAAGGAAAAGCTGTGTACTCTGTCTCCTTATTAGTTACCACGCAGTCCTTTATTGAGCCTGACGCGGAATGGAAACGTTATCTTTATCGTGGTAACAGCCTGATGTAGGCGTTTTAATATTCTGCCAACTTGACTGACTGAGTGAATTGAAATTAAAATAAATAGAACTCAGTTATTAAATAATAACACAACCCGGAATGTAACCCATTCGATTCTCTGTCATATTCATTGCGAAGGGAAGTTAGTAATTAACAGTCTGGCTAAAACAACGTTAAAATATTTACAGACTAGAAAGAAAAGCTTAGATTTTCAGAAAGCCCGTGGAAATTGTGTACTGTTTAGTCCCTCCATGTATAAAATTAACAATACTGTAGGCATAAATATATATGCCAATATGGAGTTCAAATATTTTCCAAATGGAACAAATTTCAAGAATTTAACAACTGAAATCACAAAAAAAATTTACTGTTATCATATCAAACTGAACAGATTTTGGTTTCTCTAACTTCGCTGAGTTAGATAAATAATTTATTTTTTAAAAAAAAATAGCAGAATGACAACTTGAATATTACACAGGTGAACGGCTTGTGTGATTAGAATATTGAAATTAATTTTAAAGGAATAAGGATTGGAGTTTGAAAGAATTTATATGGATCAGTACATGGTTCAGAGTCAGGGCTCTTGTGAACACGACTACAAAACTTTGTTCCTTGAGCAGCGATTTCTTAGATTCTAAAGAAACATTCTGCTCTACGAAGCTAGTTAATTGCAATAACATTGTAATACGTAATTACAATTTCGATAATGTTTTGCTGTTCATGAATTTGAAGATCTTTGTTTAGTCCTGTAAGGAATATTATTAACATAATGGTAGTTCCTTTTGACTATAGCCTCTAGTAACTGTGAATCAAATGGATATTTACAGAATTTAGTATGAATATGTATTAGAGACCACCCCCCAGTAATAATTTTTAGTTTGCTGCCCTAAATAAACCAATATGGTGGCCTTGTACAATTGTGAGGTGGGACAACCACCATAATTGTACCATCGTTAAGAATATAAAATTTTATTTTGTAACAGATCTTCGAAAAACATGCAACTTTTGTCATGATTGAAAGTAAAATAATGACATGGCCATCGGGAGAAATTTATAAAAGCCTTCGGTTTCAACACGGTAACTAATGATTCACTGGGGCCAGATAGGTTTATATGAAACCTAGAATGGAGAAAGTTCATACTCGTGTCGTAACGACAAAATCGATGAAATTATGGCAATAAAAATGTATTTCCGACACTCCGCGTCTGTTTCTAATCTGAACATAGGCAAAAGACTACATAAACATTAAAACTAACATGTGACAGTCTAGGATCGATAAAATGACTTCGTTTTCTGGGCAAATACAATCGACATGTATGTCAGTAGAAGTTCATATATGGCTATCATGAAATGACAGCTCTTTATATAATACCAACTGATATGTTCTTTCGACCTGGGTTCCGGACCTTGAAATATTACACATTACCAAAATTACACGTTTCGACTAATGCACATGTATCTAATGACTCATGAGATTATAGTGTTATATCTTACATTAAGGGAATGTTTTATATACAAACGCAAATATAAAAACAACTCGAGACGTACCCGATTCGAATATCGGTCAGATTATGTGATATTCTGACTTAAGAGGTTATATTTCTCCGTGTTCCAGGCAAATGCCGGGATAGTACCTTAAATTAGGCCACGACCGCTTCCTTCCCTATCATTTTCAATTGATTATTCACTATTATCCCTCTCATTCGACGCTACACAGTCTGAGATACTAAAAAGCGTGAGTACTCAGTGGAGGGGTGTTCGGAAACTGATGCGATAACAGAATTTATAGCACATTACGTAATTGCGGTAAATTTTAAATAAGTGTAGTTTTACACACGCTTCGTCTGAAAGTGACGCCATGTTGATGGATTGTAGTAAACAAAGCAATCGCAAGCTTAGGATAACAGTAAGATGCTGTGTAATCAATCACGGAAAGTTTCACTATTTGGTCTCTGTTTATCATTCATCTGTTTCTGTGATTGTGGGGGTAGTGTTTTGGTACAAGCATGATGGATCCGTTATATCTGTACAAAATTAGTTACCATTAGCCTCTTAGTGGTGAAAATTAGATGGGACCGCTTACTGTTCTTCACGTAGCGTTATTATTCTAATTAACTCAATGATGTTAAGATAGGCGGGACATTCAGCATGCTTCGGGGAAAGAAAACATACATACAAGATATTGGTTCTATTTTCATCATCATCATCAGATGCTAATGACAGAGGCAGCAATACCTATGTAACGTCAGTAAACTTCTACCAGACTACAGGGCGCTACAACCCAGAAGACAGCCATCTTCATACTGCCTTTTACATCAAAGTTATTCGCTACAACCAAAGTCTATTCTAGCTCAACAAGTAGGCCTAAAATAATATTTTGTCTTTCAACCTAAAGACAGAAGTATGATCAGCTTTTGAAACTTTGTGGTTTTAATTGAATAACCCTCGGACTAAAGGCAAGGTGGAACAGAATAAATTCACACGCGAATATAAATATTGTGTGTGCACAACCTACAAGGTAACGAGAGATATCACACCCCACTATTATATGAAGGGGTAGGGATAGTTCACGAGTTCGTACTCCCAAAATATGTAAAAGAACATAACTGGGTATCCTGACTACGAAATGAGAAACTTACATGCCTTTGGCAATAAAGTATCGATTTTCAAATCCACCTAAAATTCAACTTCTGCCCCACGGAACGGATCAGTGTACCGGCAACGCTACAGAATTTTATCTGGTAGGAAACTGACTTCCGAAACAGCAGGATCCCCTCCGGGTATCTTAAATTAGATCTGCTCCTTCTCCGTCCCTTTTGGTGAATTCCAGTGGGTTACAACCGCCTCCATCGGGTTCTTAATGAAGCACCACTCACAAATCTCTCATCTGATGTTACGTATATTATCTCTGTAGAAGAAAGAACGATATTCAGCGACGCGAAGTTCAGTCAAAATACTTTTTCTTTGTAACATCTTCTCATAAAAAAGTCATATGGTCATATATGGTACTAGAAAAACGTATCTGCTTCTGCTGTTCCGGGAAAAACAAATGGAAAATTCTACTCGGCATTATGTTTTGACGCAAAGTTACTATTTTGCGAAAAAGCAAGTACATTAATCACTAATATTTGTGTTGAATAACACAACTTTAAAGTTCCCTTTTAATTTCCTTTCTGGTATAGGTTGTCCTGACAATGTGAGAAACTCTTGACAACACAAATTCTTTGATACGCCCTTGTTCTTAATTTTCATGTGTCATTATGACGTCTGCTACACTTTGTTCTTATTAATGGCAATAATTTCAGACTGCAAATAAACGCATTATTAATTACAATTTGCTTTTGCGGTTTGATGTGAACCACTTACGTCACAAAACCCACTGTTAATCAGAATGATCCGGATAAGCACGGCTGTGGTCATAAACATTAAAAAACTCCCAAAATATGACGGAGGGGGTCACGGAATGTTAATTTTCTTCACACAAAAATATGTTTGTGTTAATAAAGGCCTCGTCTGACTACTACACGATTCTTTTCTGCATTTCTGGCGCACGCGTATTTCTGGTGGCGGTAGAAGACGAGGAGGTTGAGGGGCGGACGATTTCCTTACTCTTCCCGCCTCCGCTTTGACATATGATTGGTGGACACAATAGTGACGTCATTCCCGCGTCGCCCAAAGTGTTGGAGTGTGTATAATGTTATAAAACACGTAGCAAACTGTTGGCCAGGAGCAGAAAACTATCTGTCGCCTCAAGTAGCGTAACGTCGCGACGCTGACCGACGCTTCTTACGAATACGTCGCACCGCTACTAGGCGTCCTTCCTTCAACTGACGTCCCTCTTCAGAGGAGGCTACGACACGTTCCGGGGAAGTCTGCCCCATCGAGTGGATAACTGAACCACAGCATACCACAGGTAGGGAAGACGACTTACACAGGCTATTATTGTTACCATATAACGCTGTATCAACTTCGATGGTTCGTACCGAACACCTAATACTCTTAAGATATAGGACTGAGGAAGATATGACACTATCGGCAGATATGGACAAGAAACGCGTGCAGAATTGTGGTGACGAACCCTCTTGGAAAATGACAATTGGCTTGATCAAAAATCAGCTGGATTAAAATACTGGATATGTGAACAACAGATTATTGGAACTCTGCCGAAATCGTATCCAGAAGTTAGATTTATTTTTAGCGGCGTCGAAACTTTAAGTTAATAAATTAACAACTGCAGACTCTTACTACAAAGAAATAACATAAATTTGAATACAAGTACAAAATATTGCAGCTGGTAAGAGATGCAATGCGGTATCTAAGTAATGAATGACAATTTATGGCGATTAAATTTTAGGTCATTTAGAAGCCAAATAAGGATGTTAACTTAAACTTAATTAATTAAATAAACTTTGTGCAATTGTAAGCCGCACTAAAACGGCTAAAATTGTGGTTCAATGGCGATTCTTTGGTACTAGAAGTGCGAAATCTTTTACTTTTACTATGAGAAATTTACTTACTGACAACTAGCGACACGACGTATTCGGTCACCTACAAACTATATGGAGAATACGGTCGTGGCCAATTTAAAAATATTATCTCCATATTAGTCTTGTAGTCCTGAGAAAGTAAAAGAAACTATAAAAAATCTGAAAATACACAGGTCCAAGTAATTTCAAAGTATCGAATAAAATATACATTTAAATATTTTTAGTTTAAGGTCCTCAAAATATTTCGGGTCCTTCAAATTTGACCTTCGTGAAGCAGAAGATTCAGTGCCATTCAGTAGGCCTGTAATGCTGATATGTATTCTGGACCATTTTTATAATTTGACCTTGTGACTCAGTCTGCGTCATCTGAGGAAGAAATTAAGCATATGATAACAGTACGGTGTTCATAATGTAGTTACGTAGTAGTATTTAACTTCTAATTATATATAAGCTTTGTATTAAAAGTAAAACAATTAGTTTAACCCTATCTATAACAATCACGAAAGGGACCCCCAAGGCTCACAAAAAATCTTTAATTTGTTGCAGTTATATTTAGACTTTGTTACTAGAAACTATAATAAATCTCCTTGTAATTTTACGAATGAAAGTACAGCTTCCTGTCGGATCTGGTCTGAAACATTTTTCGGAACACATAAATTTCATGAATTTTCTATCATGAATTTTGTTCAGTACTATACAACATGAACCAAAAACAATGAAGTGACGCACAACGTGTCATGTACCGTAATAAATATTGCTACTGTATGCAATAATTCTTTTTGTAAAAATATGTTTCAATAACAAGACCACTAATGACATACAGGTTTCTTTAAAGAGGCATTTTCAATGCAGTACTGAAAAAAGTTATTTGAAATTCAAGCAAGCTTTTCCTTAACTTTGTCATTTCTCTACGACTTTTGAAGAATAAGTGGCTTACTATCAGTGAAGAGTTAGTCTACAAGAAAATAATAAAATATAATAACGATAGGGATGTGGGGAATGCAGGGAATTCTGTATAAAATAAGATATAAATATCAGAGTAAAATTAGGAATTTGGAATTGGTAGGGAAGGTACAGTGGTAACAAGGAATAGGCGTAGTAAATAAGTAGTGTTAATGGAGCTAGGTATTTGAGGACTGTGGCCGCGAAAACCCGGTGTTAGACGGCCACAGATCACTGTCTGGAGAACTCAACCAAATAAATAAACAAATTCTATACGTTACGTAGCGTCTAATGAAATCCACGTTACAGACCGATTATATGTCTCGGAGGACGATAATGAAATGAAACATTTCGTGACCAAATCACGTTGCTAAGCTATTATTTCGTCTGAAGACAATGTCAGAAAACACCATAATTTCGGCTATTTTGATGGGTATTCCGGCCGGGACTTGAAGACAAGACACCCCCAAGTGGGAAGCTTAAATGAAAGACGCATCGAGGTTCGGCTGTTTGAGGTACAAACCGGGTACATGTGAAATACGAATCAGGTCTGTATGACGTGAAATTCAGTTTGAGGTGCGAGTTGTATACCTCTAAAATATGAAGCAGGACTTTTTGATCCGTGGTTCAGTCTGGGGTGCGAACTGTATTAGGCTTTCATTTGATGTGCATGTACGCGTTGTTATCGGCCTCCCCTGGTTAGCCTGCACCCGCCGTGCACTTCCAAACCTGCTACTAGTCTTGTTACACAAATGCGTGTTACAGTACGTAAAAATAACGGTGAGTGGAGTAATTTATCGAGAAAAGAATAATTACAACTTTGTTGAAACCTTTCGCCTCCATCAATGAAAACTGGAAAATAATTTATTTATTTTGCTAAAATATCTTAGGCCAACATCATATTGCTTGGCTTTCCTAATATTTGTAAGCGTAACAATGGTGTATTCCGACAAAGGCAAAAGTTTATCAGGCATATGAGGGCGCTGAAGTCTAGCTAATAAACAGATCACTGTAGTTCATTTTATTGTCACAAAATCAGTCTCTTTGGTTGGGATATAATTAAGTGGAAATTTATATCGATAATATTTACAGGTACCTATTATTTATTATTAGAACATGAAAATCAAGATAATCATGTTGGGATGTAATTTCAAACAAAAAAAGAACAAGAAACTCACGTACAATATTACTGAAAATCTTTCTTTGAAAGAGGTAATTTGTAAGATTTGTAAAATTTGAAATAGTCTATGATCAACAGTGATATTACGACTTCTACTGTAAATTTTGTACCTCTGATGTGCTAATGTCCTTAATTTCAAGCACAGGCCTATATATTTCTTCCTTGCTACTCCATACAAGAACGTCCATTCTCAATAAGTATGAGTCATTAGCGTACAAAACTGTGGTCAAAATATAGAGCTTTGAATGTTGTATCAGGCGGTACATATAAGTTAGCATTGCGCTTTAATGAGTTAAATAACATTCATCACAAATAAGGCATAATACCGTTTAGGCTGATACAGATGTTTAAGATTTATAACTGCAAGGATAGGATACATTTTTAACTCGTTTAGTTATTTTGTCAAAGGCAATACAATTCAAACCTGATTTTAAGTCCAGAGTTTACGTAATGAGGGCAGCTGTTTCCACATGTGTTGCAGGAGAACACTGAAAATACACTGAATGCTTTATTTGAGCAGATATTTTGTGTCTAATGACGTGGCACTAATTACAGTATCGAAGCTAATATCTATAAAATAAATTACGGTGTGAGAAATAAAACAGAATGACAGAATAAAATTTAACGAGAATTTTATATCCTTTTTTATGTGACACACTTTGCATGCGTCATTAAATATTTTGCTGTTTTATGAACAGTTTTACGTTCTAACAAACCAATTTAAAATTAAAAAGTTATATTTGTTCCTTTATTTTCACAGAATGAAATTAAATACATATCTTATTCAAGTGTATGAAAGGCGAAGAGGCCATGTACAAATCACACAAAACTATTTAAACAAATCTCAGAATTCAGTTTAAATCATTCCTAATACAGGATGTACATAAATAAACCGAGAATTCCATCTATGATTTCCGGCATAGTACACTCAAATAGGTCATAAAATCTTACAATTTAGTCCCTTTATGTAAGACTTGAGGTTCTCACAGCGGTGAGTATGAAGATATCCGTCTTCTGGGTTGTTGCGCTGTGTAGTCTGGTCGATGTTAACCAACGTTTCAGAGGTAACATCGACCAGACTACACAGCGCAACAACCCAGAAGACAGAAATCTTCATACTCATCGCCCTGATGATGGAGGCAGTATGACCTCTGAAACGTTGGTTAACATCGACCAGACTACACAGCGCAACAACCCAGAAGACGGATATCTTCTTAGTCCCTTTATATTCATCACTAATAATTATAATCTCAACGGGATAGTTAAATACAGTCCAGTAAAAATATGCACATTGGTATAATCTCGGTGAAATATAACAAATGGCGCTGAAGCGTACGTCATGAAAAACATAACAGTCAGTCAGTCGACGGATGAAAACGAGGGATCACAATGTGTGAAAACCTTTTGTACACTCCTGATGAGACTGCATACTTCAGCAGTCTTGTGCCAATCAGTTTTTGAAGTCAGTTTGATTTTCGATCTAGAACGTGTTTTATTGGCATTGTCGCTTGCTTGCTTACATACACAAGAAGGAAAAAAGGAATATGTAGGCTGATAAGAAAACACAACGTCCTGGAAGAATACAGACATCAGATGAGTCTTCAAGTACGATTCAGAAAGAACACCAACGCAAACGGAGATCCCAGTCCCCTTAAAAAGCTCCAGAACGTTTGATCTTAAAGAAAAGATATGCTGGGAATTTGTCTTTCAAAAACAGTCAACTAAGCATTCGATTTTCAAGTTTCTGAACATAATGACATTCCGTTAGCCGAGAAAAACAAAAACAAGTGGATTTTTCATCATGAAAATGGCCTACCCACATACCAGTTTCGGTGAAGCTGCTTTTGTTCCATAAAAGTGCTGAAACATTCTTGGTGCCCGCGTCGTTTCGCCTTGTGTGACTTTTTAATGTACCCAAAACTTAAAGTCTCATTCAAACTCTCATATTCTGAAGACGATTAGGGGACTATAATGATACGACTTTCTGAGAAATATTACCCAGGAGATTTCTAAACACAGCTGATATGAATGCACTTATTAATTAAGAACGACAGAAATAAAAGTTTAGTAAAAGAATTCTACATTTAATTTTACTCATTCGGTTCGTTAATTTTATTATTCGGTCTTGCATGTGATCGTCTCTACAACCAACTGGAAAATTATATGAGAGTTTAATTCGAACTTTTTCAGTGTTTTAAGTACCTATTCGACATTTTCTTGGAACGGCACGAAAATCTATAGTAGTTTAACTGTACCACGGACAAAGATTCCTAACCTGTACTCTACTGTCTTAATAAATTTCAT